ATTCGTCATACTGAATAGCTACTCTGTAATAATGTTATGCTTTTTATGGTGCTTAATTTTAAGGCTTTCTGGAAATAGCACACAGTTTGTAAGGGTGTGGATGCACTGTCAGTTTTACAATAGGAGTTTCATTCAGTTCTTTCATTCCTTCAGGCAACTGGAAGCTGAAGGCCCTCAACAGGTTGGTCAGAAAGATGAAGATTTGAATTCTCGCCAGCTGCTCTCCCACACATGAACGTTTACCTGTAGATGATAAAAGCATGCAAAAAGGGGATAATAATCAGTTCTCCAGAATATAGCCCCTTGGCTAGGAAACATGAGAGAAGATTTGTAACAGATGAAACACAGTTCCCTGTTGAATCTTGGTATCTTCTAGTATTGCTTATTAGTGGATTGTCATTTAGTACATAGGAACAGCTTTTCTGGATAATGCTTTGAATCTGTTGGTGTGGTTAGCCTGTCATGTGTCTGATTAAAGAAACACTTCAAAGAACTTTCAGGCATTTTTTTAACCTAAAAAGCCTTTATTAGTGTTACAGAGTGTCAGCACGGCATGGTGGAATGCTAAGATCTGAATTTCCCTTCCTTTGCACATAACATTCCAGGCATTTCCCCTCCCCTATTTGGGGGTCATGATTCACATCTTCCAATTAACTTGGAGGACAAAGATTCACTTCCGTTCCTTTTCCCGGGCTTTCCTGATATTCTCCTCCCCTTTCGCTGTCACCTGATTTAACTCTAAAAATACCAGAGAGTTCTGCATATATTGTCAAAGCAAGAATATTCAATATTAGCAGCGTTGACATCGCCATTGGTCAAACTGCTTTGTTAAAGCAATTTATTAGGCGTGGTGGCACAGACTTCAGAACAACTCAGAGATGGGGGAGATAGGAATCTATAAGTGAGAAACTGCTTTGGGCTCATGGATGTACCTATTCCGAAGAGCAGAAATGCTTCTCGTTCAGTGAACTTCCCATCCTTATCTAAAAAGTGATTTGGGTTGAACTCTTCAGGTGTCTCCCATTGTTCAGGGTTAAGCAGAACAGAACGCAGGTCAGGCACAATCATGGTCCCCTACAAACAAAGAGATGATTAAACAGAGCAATTTCATAAGGGAAAAAGGCAAAAATGTTCAAACCAATATTGATGAAACCTTTGGTTTTAGCTTGTCTTTATAGACCCACATTTGTTCATTTCCAAAGCAGTTTCTGAGAGCAGTGACTGTTCTTAGCATTTCTCACCTTTGGGACATGGTAATTGTTAATCTTCACATCTTTTGTACTTTGCCTGGGAGCCACAATAATTAAGACACTTTTAAAACGCTGCATTTCATGAATCACGGCATTGGTGTAGGGCAGCTTCTTCCGATCCTGATAGGAAATTGAGGCCGAGGAACTAAAGGTATCTTCAATCTCCTTCTGGACTTTCTCTAGAAAAAAATGATAGAAAAAGAAGTTTCATTTTCAATATTGTGTTTCCTTTGTTTCCAAATTTTAATCCTTAACAGAACTTTAGGACATTAGGGCATTAAATGTAATCCCATCCTTTTTAAAAAATATTGTGAGGGAGAGCAGATTGAATATGTGTTTCCTGGGCTCTGATCATATCCAATCCAAAAAGGTTCAGAATATTATTATTATTATTATTATTATTATTATTATTATTATTATTATTATTATTATTATTATTATTGTTGTTGTTGTTGTTGTTGTTGTTGTTATTATTATTATTATTATTATTATTTATCAAATTTATACCCCGCCCTTCTCCTAACGGACTCAGGGCGGCTTACAGCCAGTTAAAACAGATAACTAATACAATAATACTAATTTTAAAATATGATTAAAATGAAATATTCATTATTGGCCGTTTCTTTTTAAAATTATTTTAAAAACCAAATTAAAATACCCCTTAGG